GGGATAAATTGGCATCTTCAAAATTGTAAAACTATATGGTCATCTTCCACATCATGCTCCTCTCCGCCAGCTGAGCAAGATGGAAGCACTGCTCCAGGTGGATGCAGGCAACAGAAAGCTCCCTCTCTCCCTCACAATCAGTCCAGAGTGCAGTTTCTCCCAGGAGTGTCAGACCACTAGCATTTCTAGCCATCCTCCCCACCATTCTTCCTCCAGCACTTGCCACCACTGTGATATTTTTGTGGCTTCAGTCATTGTCCCAAAGTTATGCAGATTCCTCATCAATTCTTCCTCTTTACATCCTGAAACAGATTTTTTTTAAAAAGGCAAAACATTAGGAAAATATTCTCTTCATCAGTATGTATTCTCCAGTGATTTTGATTCTTGTGATTGAATGACTAGTCCCCCATCCTGGCATTCTTAACGTCCAAGTCAGTTACTTCCCATATCAACTATTGGGACACTTCTTTCCATAAAACCAAAGTTGGCAAACAGTCTTTGAGCTTGAGAAACATCTCATGTATGTAAAAATATGTGCTGTAAATAGGAATAAATAAGATAAAGTTTTTTTTCCACAAATATGCTTTTCAGTGACAAATAAGTTATGAAAGACAATAACATTTGTTTTAATTTAGCCTCTTTTAGAAAAAAGATATTGAATGAGAGTTTACAATTATTCTGGCACATTAAAGTTTACCAAATTTAAATTTGTTTAATAAATAAATGTGCTTACAAAATTCAAACAGTAGCTTAAAAAATTCAATCAGAATAGAAGCAAGTCTAATTACTATATAAAGAGAGAGCCAGTATTATACAATTAAGTGTGGTTAATTTTTATTTGTCTACTGATCATCTTAGTTTAATCCAAAAGTAATACTAGTTTGGTTTCAGTAGGTACTCATAGGTATAGACTATGGAGAGTCCTGTATTAAAATACGAAGACAGTTTTATAAGAACAGCACACTAAATCCTGAGTATGGCCTTTGAAAACATTTCTGCGTCTAAAATTCTATGAGTCTTTCCCAGCTATGTTTCTGCCAATAGAAATATGATCTATGGTTTAGAGATGTGCCCTTGTGAACTTCCCTGTAAATCTGCTTTAACAGAATTCTCTGTTCTTACTAGTAAAATAGGACGTTATACTTTTGTAATAAAATTTCACTCTAAAGATTAAATAAAACTTGTATTAAATGTGCAATAAACTTCTCTGTCTGAATACTTAATTCTAAAATAACTGATAATATATAAATGCTCTGAGTAGTCGCAAACTATAAATAATTTTCCGTGTCTGAAAATCTTTTCTAGAACTTTTTGTCTTTGGAGGGCAGAATCATATAAGATACATCCTTTAGGTCCCTTTCATCCACCTTCCTTCTCTTCTAAGTGCTGGAATTTCTTCTTTAATTTTTTTTGTGAAGATTTAAGCTTTTATTTCAACAGTTAATATTATGCCATAAAAATAGCATTTATAAGATTTAGATCTGGAAAAGATAGAAGCAATCATATAGCTCTAATACAATGTTGGTGTTTTACTAATTCTAAATGAATTCTAAAAATTATAAGGAATTTCTAGGACAGTCACTAAAGTAGTGCTAGAATCTGGATTTCTTTATAATAATGGAGTTTTCTTACAATTGCAAGAAGTTGAAACACTTGTGTTACAGTTCTGGTTGGAGCATTTTTGAGGGAAAATGAAATTTGATTTAGCTTTTTTTATTCTCTCTTCTGTATCTTTCTCTTTTTCTAAACTTCATAATCAATCTTTCGTCAACATGTCTCCAATAAACAAATTATCTATTTTCAGTAAAGCCACATTTGATGTCAGGACTTCCTCAACAGCCAGTCACAAATGTCCTTTGTAGTAGTTGGTAATTTAATTCACCCCTTTATCAGTCAAGTTCAGCAGCTAATATTTGACAGGCAGGGGTTACAAACCTGGGTAGCTTTTGACATAGACCATTTACCAGCCAGAATCTCAAATCAATGACTTCGAAACTGAATCTTGCTGCCAGTGTGTTTTTCTTTGGTTGCATGGAGTTTTTAAAAATTGAATTTGAATGCCTTAATTGAGGACAGACTTACCAGTGTGTCACAGTTCCTACATACCCTGTTACTTTTGTGCGTGACATCTCAAATCAGTTTATGTAACTGGTTATGTAATTGAAACCAACATGACTATTGCTTTGTGTTTGTTTCATCTTGTTATTGGAGAGGAGGGTGCGTGGATGTTTCCTTCTCATAGAGAAAATGTTTGGGGAGGATGAAGACAGTCATCAGACTAATAGTGCCACTGATGTTGCAAAGAAAAATATCTTTGCACTTGATTCAGGAAAACTTAAAAACTGGAAAAACATTTCTTACTGTACATAATATTGTGACACATTTCATATCCCTAATTTGCTAAATATAAAGAGGCATAATGCCTATTAATATTAAATGGGTCAGTTTCTAAATGCAGTCAAACTTAAAGCTGCTATCTTTCACATCTTTTCTAAAAATGGTTGATTATAGAATTAAAAAAAAAAATCCAAAACATGAAGACAGTTCATTCGTATTTTAGTGTACATCTTTGAGTACTATGGAGTTAATTTTTTGTAATAATGATTTTAATTAGAAACACGATCATAATATTTTAGTTAGCATTTCATAATATCAATAAAAATATTGCAATTTTTTTTACCATAAATGAAATGACAAACAGCAAATGTTAAAGATTTTACAAGCTAATTAAATGTCATTGTGAGAGCTATAAAATATGTGTAAGTTGTAGTTCCATTTAGTTTTGGAGAATGATCAGATTTGATCACAACGGTTAAAAGACCTAGACTTGGACTTACAGTAATGCTTAACATGAGCTTTTCTATGAGACATTTGGCATGAAAATTAAATATGACCCGCATAAAACACTAAGAAGTATTATGTTCCAAATTTTGCTTCAAATATGCTTCCTCTGTAAATGTATTAGAAATGAAAATCAAATAATTCCTGTTTTTACTTTTTATTTAACTAATATTAGCAACTAATGATTAATCTGAATCTGAATGAGCATGACAAATTGGAATCTTATTTGCAAATGGTGAAAATTATGAAAATCAGTGCTGCATGATCTAAATATTATTCTTCACTGATCAGGAAAATGTGACCTTTGTATTGGGTTTGTATAAAATATATTGTAAGTGTTCATACAGTTTTATGAAGAAAGACTTTCATCTTGAAGTTATTAGATAGTTTTAACTAACTGATAAACAAACACGATAAGTGATGTTTTTCACTTTTCATAATAATATTATTCTCAATATTTATCACCAACATCTATTCAATTTCATTTAATGATTTTAGTATTTGATATTTTGCTTATATTTTCAAAGTGTGAAATATACAATTAATGCCATTTTATTTTTTCCAATGGAGTAGAGCTTTAAATTTTTCTTTACTTTTTTTCTTTTTAAAAGCACTTTTATTGTGTATTGGATCCAAAACAATGGTTTAATTAATATTAATACAGCCATGGATTTTTTGTGTGTATTTCAAAATTTATATTCTCCATCACAACACTAGGAAAAAAAATATCTGTCCCTCTGCCGGACTAGTGTTAGTTTGATGATTATACTAATATTAACTGCTTCACTTGAGTAAGCAAAGAAGAAGTAAAATACCAGTCAGACCAGCTGTTAATTCACGGAGTGTTGTACTATGCTTATTAAAAATACCCAAAAGATGTACCTTTGTGGTTCAGTCTTTTGAATTAGAATCAGAATATTAATCATGCCTCAGGCCTAAATTAAACATTGGAAGGCCCCTTAAGAATTTTCACCAAATTTTCTTGGATTTTTCTTTATTGGGTCTTCCTGGACTCTGTTTAGCTCTGTAATTGCTTTGCTCCTTTGTTGATAGGTTAAGGCACAATGTGATTTTCTCCATGTCATAATATTTAAGAGGACGGCTCAATGGTCTACTCCAAGTTGCAATGTGCAGCTGAGACACCGATTTATAACAGAAATAGTGTTTACAATGTCAAATACAGTGTGAAGTGAGAACAATTATGTATCTCTAAGTCCATAGTTATCAAAGCATCTGAATTATTACTATCTTCATATCATTTATATTCCGAAGGGGTTGTCTTAAGTGACCCTGCCAAATGTGGTTGACCTCTTATATATATGAGTATGCAAATGCAAGAAAAAATAAGGAAAACCTATCAAGCATGTTCAAAATATAGTATTGTCTGATTTCAGAAAATGGTCATTGTCATTAATGAATGTATGCCTGGTCACTTACATATGGACAAGGTTTGAAGAATAGAAACGTGTGATTGACAGTAGCGTTTGTGCATCTCGCCAAGAGCTGTGCCTTGAGTATATTATATATACGGGAGTGCAATCTGAACTCCACACACTTGAGACCGGAAAAAGTGTTATGACCTAAATTATTTTAATGTTTAACATATCTCTGCTGCCTCACTCTCAAGGAAAGGGGACAAGATGGAAAAGTATATCAGTTTGAGAGAGACTGTATTATTTTAAAAAATAATTAATGATAATAATAAAGCACCAGTGCTCTGCCTGTAGACCACAACACTCCTCTTCCCATTTCTCTATTGAATTTATGATATTTAAATAAGAACTCTTAATTCTGACACCCCACAATTATTTGGGGAAAGAGAAAACACGTTTGTTGAAACTGATATTTCAATTTATTAACACATTTGTTTGAAGCAACATGCTCAGGTTTTTAAAGGTTTGCTTAACATTATTTTAGCTAAACTAACACTACATGGACTTTACATTGCCAATATTTGTATATTATGTATCACAACAGAGTAATAAAGGCAGCTCAACGTGATAAAAACAAGGGAAACATTGATCAATTTTTAGTATTAGTACAAAAACAAAATACTGATGTATTTTGAAGTGAGATAGCAACAGCTTACCCCCTGGAACCTTAATTAGTTCCCATTAAAAGAGTTAACAGAGGAAATATGAATTCATTTGACCTGACAGGTATCTAAAAATTACTGCTCTCCACGGTTACAAGCACTTTTGGTAGCTATGAATAAATAACCTGGAAAAACAAGAACTATAGCCAAAAGGAAGCACGTGTTTCTGAAAGAAGCGTGACCAGTGACTGGTGAGTACTCAGGAAGTCTAACCAGTGGTGCTTTGTCGTAAGACAGAACTTCACTGATGCTCTGAACTAGACCTTGCCTCTCTTCTTTCCTTCTCTGTGAAATTGCTGTAGTTGCTTGGGTGATAGAGAAATGAATTACAACTTATTCCTAGAAATGTCTAAATTACAAATAATACGCTCGTTATCAAATGTAATTATTGTCGTGTGTTCGTCAGAGATCAAACTGTGACCAATAATGAAACAGTAACTGGAGGAAAAATTTCCAAGGACCCTCTTCAGTAACATTAGTAATGAAAATTAGAACAAATCCAGTACAGTGTTAAATATTTAGTAAACTGAAGATTGATGAGATCTATGACCTTGTGAACCTCTTCTTTTGCTCCAAACCTTCATGATTTAGTATTTTGTTGAAGAAGAACTGTTATAATGATTCTTTATATTATAACCCAGATCTAAACAATGTAAGTATTTTACCAATTTTGTTTTGTGTAGCCCCCCCGTTTTTCTGTCTGAATACTTTGAAGCAGATCCCAGATAACATATTTCACCTACATATATTCAAGGCTGTATTAACAAATAATGCCCCAATATGTTTGTTGTAATATTTTAGGTAAATATCAAAAATTTTTATCTCAGCCTAAATTCTTTAGTATGTATCCCTAACAATTAAAACTTGATTAAACCAAATAAAATTAAGGATAATTTCTTAATATCATCTAATCATCTGGTTCATATCCAAATGTTTTGATTTTTCATATGAGCTCTATTTTTTCAAATAGTTTTTGAATAAAGATATAAACAAATTTATATGTTGCACTTGGTCAGTTAAGCCTTTCAAGTCATTTAAATCTATAATAGTTCATCTTCTTTTGATATTTATTTATTTCAAATCTTAAATATTTTCCCTGAAAAATTTCACACATTTTGGATTTGGTTGATTCCCCTGTATTTACTATAAACTTAGAGTCATATTTAGAAGTTTGATTAGATTGAAGTTTAATTGATACCCTATACTTTTTTCATCCATCAGAAGGCACATACGTCTAGTTGCTATACATTTAGTGGTATTAAAACATATCAACAATAATATTTCATATTTCATAGAAATATGAAAATGTGCCTCACTGTTTTTTATGGCAAAGGATAATAAAGAAAACATGCGTCCATGAATAAGGGATTAGTTAAACAAACATGTGAATACTATGCAGCTGAATACAGTATACAGAACATGATCTCCAGAATGTGCTGTTCAACAGGAAAAGCATTTCAGAGAAATGCAGTATGATGTATGCATAGCATATATATATGTGCTAACTATTATTGTGTGTGTATAGTTGCTACCATTTAAAAATTAGGAAATATGTGTATAAATGTGTATGTTATATTTATTTATAGTAAAATAGGCATATAAATCATGAAATTTAAATAAGTGTAAATATCACCTAAAATGGGTGGGAAGGAATGGAGTGGATAGGACGATAATGGGGACTGGATCTCTCTGTAGATAAATGATAGATGTGTAGATTTAACTTTTGAGCAATGTAAATGTTTTATAAATTATAAAACAAAGTAAACTAATTTGTCTTTAAATCTCTAGGATGACATATACCTAACAGAAAAAAAAGTCCTGCAGAAAACCCTGTCTTCTATAACCATGTCTTTGGTGGTAAGGCTGAAGTTATTCTGAACTGGTTGTGTGTATATTATGGGATAAATTCAATAAATGTTGTATCATTGAGAAAGAGGAGTTTCATTGTGATTGAGGGAGAAACATATTGGAAAATGAAATTAAGTTTAAATCCTACATTTAAATTGGGAGTCATCAATAAGAATATACCACATATTGTGTCTTAAGAAATATGAACACACACACACACACACACACACACACACAGTCTATGTCTCTCCACTCAAAAGACCAGGAGAAATGACCAGCCTATTATCAGTGAGCAATCTCAGCCCCCAGGGTGCAGTTTCTAAAAACTATCCTCATTGAAAGGACAGTAGGCTTTGCAGAAATGGTTGATTCTAGGTTCTAAGTCTGGCCCTTGCAATGTACAATATAAACCTGGAAAATATGTTAGACCAGAAAGCAAAGAATTTATTAAAGAAACCTCGGGTTATATTCATAGAACTTAAGAGTCAACCTTAATAAGCTTCCAAGAAGCAAAGATGAAATGATTTGAGCACAAGTAAAGATTTAAGTGCAATGGATTGCAACTCATCAAATAAGTTCAAGTGCGTAAGTTTATAATTACATTGAAAATATGCTGGGTCAGCTTTGGAGAATTTGGGGCAAATATTTAGGAAAAATTGATAAAGGAAATTAAGCAAGCTGTTACCTTGCAATCCTGTATAATTTGAACATCAGTATAAACAAATAGTCAATGATGAAAAGTTTATCTTTATGGAAGACTTGGTATTTACTAAGTTATCACACTAGGTGTTTATAGTCAAAACACTTTTATTTAAAAGTAGTTTGAAAAAGAAAGTAGTTTGAAAACTTACTTTCCCTCTGATGTTTATGCAACCAATTTATTTATAGTTAGATTGCCTTTTTTGGTTTGTTTTCCAATTTTAAGAATGGTGTTCTATTTTCTTTTTGGATTAAAAAATTATGTTAAATGTATTATGGTTCCAAATTTAAAACAAAGTGTATTCAGAGAAGACTAGCTTTTAAATTTATCCCCCACCCTCTTTCCTCTCTTTCATTATATATAACCATGTTATTTGTTTTCTATGCATAGGTATTAATTTAAAAAAAAACAGTGAAATTAAATATATTAGCCAAGACTTCCCCTATAGTAACTATATAAATGTTTAATGTATAATATGAAATGATAAAGAAGTAGAGTTAGATATCATGCGTCTAAAAACTGTACCAACATGACAAACTACATTTCCCAAGTTAGCAGACAAATTAAAACAAGTAACAAACCAAGACTATGATCCCAAGGCATATCTAGTATCTCAACAAGACAGAGAGCAGCACTGAATCTGAGTCTCTGTGCAGAGACCAGGTAAATTAAAACAAAGGAGAGAGCTGAAGTTACCATAATGCTACAGATTTAAATACAGTTGACCCTTGAACAACTTGTGTGAACTACTGACCCCCATGCAGTAGAAAATCTGAGTAACTCTATGGTCAGCTCTCCATATCCCTGGTTCTGCATTCTTGGATTCAACCAACCATGGAGTCATGTAGTACTGTAGTATTATTGAAAAAAATCCATGTACAAGTGGACCCACACAGTTCAAACCTGGGTTGTTCAACTGGCAACTGTATTGCCCTTAAAGGCTTGGAAAACAATAATTTTATATATTAAATATTGGGTATTGATGTAAGAAAGAAAAAAATCTCACTTAACACTGAAGTACAAGATGGTTAACCCAAGACATTTAACTGTCTAGAAATCTTTGGATTTAATCAACTGGTTAGACAATTATCAAAAATGGCAAATTATTAAAGAGTTGGCTGATGTTTGGCACACCAAACATCATGTTGCATGTTAAAGGGAGAAAATGCTTCTCGGTCATAAGGGAGATAATTTTAGTATTATTGTTCAATATTATCATTAAGAATACTAACTTTCAGTTGCAAAATAAATGAGTCAGGGGTATGAAGTGTACAGCATAAGGAATATAGTCAATAACTATATATATCTGCTATATGTTTTTTACATGCTTTCATAATTCAAACACAACCCAGATAGAAACAAAGCCTGATACTGAATGAGGTAGGGTGCACATTAAAAAGTTGCAAGATACTGAAATAAAACTCAGCAGGAGTCTGGAGTACCTGTAAGGGAGTTAATTTTAAGCATGTCAGAAAGAAGAGATAAATACTAGATTAGAGTGGGAAGAGTTTATTGATATAGTGCACTCTCCTGGGATTTGGAATTTATTATGTTGATTTGACTTGAGCATCTGGCATTGGCCTTGACAGTATTTTATATTGCTTAACTAAAGCCTGAATTTAACAATGGTCTAAAATCAATGAGGTTGCAACTCTGGCATATTCCTGGCATGTTTTAGGCTCAGGAAGAAGAGAATACTGGAGTGAATTTATGATGTATGACCCACTCAGCTTCCCCTTAAGCATTTCTTAGATGAACCCAAGAGAACTCTTCCAGCATCTTTGAAAAGGTAAGTTGTGGCTGTCCTCTGCAGACAGGGGATACAGTAGAAGGCACCCCCAATGAAATGGGGTTCTGTGGTTCCTTGGAAATAATGGGAGCCTTGAGTGGGAGAGGCCAGATCACGGCTCTCAATCTAAAGAAAAGGCACCTACAATGACCATATAAATCTCAGAGATGGAATAGTGAACAGGGATCTTTGACATTTTCTAATTAATAGTATCATGAAGGACAAAACAGGTGGTCTACCAAGTTGTTGCTTAACAATTATAAAGAGAAAAATTGTTGTCTGACAAACAAAAACCTGATATGAATGACATGTGGAGATTCACAGTTTCATATCCAGTTCTCTGTCCTAGCTTTGTCTTGTATAAATTCTGACTGGAAATTAACCTCTATGAAGTGGTCTGTTCCACTTTTGTATTACAGTCATAATTTCTGCCTCTTGGTTCTTGTTCTTTCCAGAGCTATGCAGAAGGAATCTGTCTATATACTATTGAGTGGTTCTTCAAATAATTGAAAACAATTTATGTTCCATTCTATCCTCAAAGTTTTAAGTTCCTTCACTATTCTGGTTGTTACCTAATTGCATTCTTCTTTGTTAATGAGAATGTCTTGAATCCTTCCATTGTGTAAGTTGAAGCCCAGAAGCTGGTCAGGATTATCACCACTGGGCTTCTGGTTATAGTGGTTCTAACAAAATAGCCTAAGATTGAAATACCTCTATTGCCATCTTCCTGCGAATTTCAATTTAATAAAATGTAATATTAAAAGTTCTGGAAATGGTGGGATAAACAGTTGTTTAAAAATGTACCTTTATGACAAATCCTTTTAGTGAGTACCCTCCTCAAATCCATATTATTCCTCTACTGGTTAAAACATGTCAGAGACTCTTGCCTAAATAGGACTTCTGGAATATTGTGGATTTGATGGCCTCATTGATGTAAAATTGCCTTATGCTAGGGCTCATTTCAAGCTGAGGTACAGAGAGGAAATACAGTGAATATTTATACCACAAAAGACTGTATACAATAAGTAATGTATTTTAGGCACCAGAGTTTCCTGTGCTTCATGGGACATGTTCACTTTTCCTAGTACTCAAAAATTCGGTGTTTTCAAAGGACACTAATATGTGCTAACCCTGATCAAACCAATGTTGGCTTAAAAATAGATTAGAACTAACATGCTAGTAAGAGAGGTTCTGGTAATTCCAGTCCATGTCATTCCCCCACCACCCTGGCAGTAAGAAACCCATGAACAGAATACATTGACTGAACCTCCTAGGATCAACCAGTCTTGTATATTCCTGGGTTGGTTGGTTGGTTGTTTTTTCTCCAGTGATGCTATTAATTAGACTTGTTTTAGTCAGTGTTTACTCATATACCTGTATCAGAAATGTTTGCAGCTAATATTGCCATCCTGAAAGTTGAGGAAACGAAGAAAAGTAGCTCATGCATTTCTAAATTATATTTGGAAAGAGAGTTCTAATGAAATATTCTTTAATCCTTTCCAGAATGTTTAATTTCCAATCTTAAACTCTTTCTAACATTGAGTTCACATTTGCTTAAAAAAACAAAGCAAAACAAAATCACATCAGAGCCATTTTGAAGATTAAGCATATTTATAAAAGGAGGAAGAAGGTGTATATGCCTGCTGGAGCTACATTGCAAGTATCTATTTCTGAGCATATTAGTGCTTGATAACTCTGTGCAGAATTCAGTCAACCATATGCAGCTAGGATTCTTCAACTGGATTTCATGGATCAGATATTTGGAGGCCAGTGAAATTCTTGAAATCAAATACATAGTTTTCTTGATAAATATACAGGTACATTTATCTGAAAAAAATTCTCAGATTTGTCAGATTTTCAAAGTGGTCCACAAAATACACTTCCCAAAAGATTAAATAGCTTGGATGGATAGATGTGATATGTTCATAAACTGATAGTGTTTATTTTTAAAATTAGGGTTTTTGAAGGAAATATTGAAACTTTCAAGTGGGATATTCTTGAATGGCAGGAGACTAAACTCCAGATAGCAGGTACAGCTCAGATTTGGCTTTTTAAAAATCAGGATAGAACACTGTAGATATTAGTTCTTTCAATATCTCTTAATACCTTTTGATATCTCTGGAAAGGCTAACACAGTAGGTGTGTTTATAGCTCTTCAAAAGAACCATACTGGGAGACCCGGAGATGAATGATCTTTGTTGTGCAAGGCCAGGTCCAAGCTCGGTAGCTTCCTAGGCAGTCCTCCACAGGCCACAGTGGATTTCCGACCTGACCCAGAGAGGCCACTTCTGTCAAAGAAAGATAGATCCTTTGTACCCATGGGCCAAATTTCTTGAAGAAATGAAATAAAATGTCTCATTGTAGAATAGTATTTTATTTTTTAATGTGGTTATATTGCACTTATAAAGAAGCCATGATTGAAGCAAAATAAAACTGTTAGGTAAATTGGTGAGATTAAATAATACTGGAGAGAAAATCTGCATATAGTCTATTCAGTGGAACTTATTAAGGACCTGATTATTTATGTCTGAGTTTAATTTACATAGTTGTTAAGACAAAACTGAACTTTCTTGAAAATATATAGGATTATATTTGGAGGGAAGATTAAATTCTGTGGGCTATCATTTCAAAAATGCCCACATTTTGATCAGTGCCCTGCAAAATAATTTTGAGTAATATGTACATTATTCCTTTATGGTAAGAAATTAACAGGCTCCAATGTAACCAGCTGGACTTTAAGCATAGTTTTGCTTTTTTGCTGAGAAAAATATCTGGTAGATTCTATATCCTTTCTAATCAAGCTACTGTTTTATATCTATGCCTCTCAAACTGTAGTGTCCACAAGAATCACAGAAGAATGATGTTAAAATACAAATTCTGATTTAGTAATTCTGGAGGAAACTTTGAAATTCTGCATTTTTAACAAGTTGCTGGGAGAAGCCAATATTGCTGGTCTCTGGACTACACATTAAACAAAGCTATAGTATATCATAGGCTTATAATGTTTCTTCAATATACTATGCTATTAAAATATTGCCAGTTTCATACCAGTTTTATTTTTATAGAGAGTATATTCATTAGTTAGAATTGAACTAAAAGTAAATTCATTAACTACCTCTATATGAAAGAAGTAACAATTTATATCAAGTATTTTTAAAACATTATGCTAAAAGTAAAAATGTTTTAGGTTAGAATCGTTTAAAAATTACTGTTACGTGATAATTTCACAGCTGAATAGAGCATCTGTGCTTAGCATCATTGTCATAGATGCTCTAGTTCCTTTTTAGTGGAATTTTTATAGTTTATGAGATTAGAAAACCAAAAACTCTTACTAGAAATTTCTCTGTCATTTATTTGAATGGTGAGATAGCTTCCGGCAATAGTGATTTTAGAGTGTGAATTCAAAGTACACACACACACACACACACACACTCTGCATCCTGCATTCAGACTCCAAAGTTCATATGTAAAACTGAGAAGGATGAACCTAGTTTAAACCTGCAATCACCACCTATTTGACCTGCTGAGAATTGGCGGTGTTTTGGACCACTCTGTGGCTTGTTTCCTAATGTAAAGTAAATTTCTTTTAAAAACAAAGGTGCATGTGCTTTTTGACTTTGGCAGGAAGGACAAAACTAGAGCATAATGAACTGTAGATTTTAGTGTATTTATGATTATTTATAGCTCACCGTAAGGTTTTGCCTTCTGTGTTTTTCAATATTTCCTCCAAACTTGGCTCTGGTAGTAGGTCCAGTATGTTTGACCTTCTGGCTAGAACAGCTACATCAGGTCCGCATTAGCAGGCAAATGTTTAATTTTGTGGAGAGACCTGTAGCATGAGGAAGGCAAGAATGAGTCCTAATGCAACACACAGCTGGTGCTACTTTTAGGCGGAAGTTTGCATTTATTTTTAATTTCAGTTTTCTTTTTTTTAAAGATAAAATTGATGAACCTTAATAGTAATACTGTTAATTTAAAATGCAGCTGCTGTAGTCTTTCCAACATGTATTATGATTTGTCCATATGGGAGCTTTTTTCCTCCCCTTTTTAAAATTGAAGTATTTACAATGTTGTATTTCTCGTATACAGCATAGTGACCCAGTTATACACACACACAGAGAGAGAGAGGGAGAAAGACATATTCTTTTTCATTACAGGTTACTACAGGCCATTGAATATAGTTCCCTGTGCATATGGAGCTTTGGAATGTGGAAATCCCTTTGAACATAAAGGAATAGGAAACTCTGCTAGGCTTCTGCCTATTCTTGGGGTTATTTACAAATTGCAGAGATTTGAATCTCTGGACCTAGTTGACTTGTACGGGGCAGGGGGTGATGACTGCCCACGTTAACTGTGTTAGGCTTGCTACAAAGAAGAGAAAATGGTGTTGATTGACAGTGACGTCTCGCCACTTAGATCGTGGCCTCGTGCTTCCCGGGAGATGCGTCTCTGCTCTTCTAGTTGATTTCCTCCTCGCGGGCGCAGCGTGGTCTCAGTGGGACGAGGGAGGGAAACCGTAGGGGCGGCGTCCTCAGCAGGAGCAGATCCTCAGGGCCCGCTAGTGGGCAGGGGCCTGCTGGGAAAGGTGTCATAGGAAGGTTCAGTCTGGGGACCAAGGCTGTCACTCAAAGAGCCCCTACTAGGGGGCAGTGCTCGGGGGAAGGCGTGTACATGGGAACAAAATTTCATTTTCATTCAACAGCATCCAAAAATGTTTACAATTGTGTTCGTCCAGATTAAGTACTTAAGGCCTCTTTTTTCCCCTCCTTTCACCATTTTTCCTTAATCACCTCATTAATTTCTAGTTTGGCTTAAAATAGCCAGCGGGCTGGAACTATATGGCTCATTTATTCGACTTTATTTACTTTTTCCAAGTAAAATGGATAAAACCAATTAATAAATTTAAGCCCATTTACCATAACTTGGAGCACTGCTAAATAGTACATCTTCCTTTCTTCACTAAAGTGCTATGCAGACAGTCATCTTTGAGAGTAAGGCAA